TACTCTTTCGCTCCACCCTTAGTTCCCTCCCTCCCTCCCTCCCTCCCTCACTCACTGTAAAAACACTCTTAAAAATATAAACGGTTTGAGAGGTATTCTAGAAGTTGTAATTAATAGGAATGACAAGTCTTCAGTTTATCATCTATAACGATTTGTCATTCCTACAAAAACATATTACAACAAAAACAGTTTAAATAACACATCAAAGCTGTGAATAACACAATAACACAATAAAGCACAAAGCATGTAATAACTCAGTGAAACATAACACATGTAAATAGCACAATACTGTATTCATGGCTCTACGTTTATCTACTCGCTCGCTTTATCGTATTCTGCAGTTTTTGTTTCACATAATATCAGGTAATAAATACTCTTCGATATACTTACAGATAAATACGACTGCATAAACAGCTACACAGAGCTTACACACAGGAGCTGATTAATTTAAATCCAATCAGTTGAGATATTCAAAATAAGTACCGTTTGATAAATATACCGACTAGTCCTGTGTTTATAGAGGTTGTTGACTACACGTAAATAAACATGTTTGAACCATAGGGCGCCATAAAACAACAGCGGCACCCTACCTAACGCTGATGTCGAAACTCTTAGCACTACACGCGGCCAGATCGATGAGAAGGCACTCGGTGTGGGGACACTGTTGTGACAGGAAATGAGTCAAGAGTCAATCTGATCCTGCCACAGAGATTTGGAATCAAAGGTAGCACTCCATGAAATGCAATCCCTCTATCCCACTACCGACACCCTAGATCTTAGCGTAGATTCCTCCCCCGATCTGGGCGTAATCTCTTGAACTCACCGTCACATCCTTGTCATAATCGCCGCTTATACTTGTCATCTGTTGCCCTTATTGTTGGTTAATTGCTCATGAATCGATTTTTGTCGAATTATTCGTCATTAAATTGAAAGGTGTAAAATATTTTCGCACTGCAAGGCTGCTACTTTAGTTGTTGAGAAGGAAGGTTATGTAAACAGAAGGTTTTAGGTACTATTTTAATTTTTCTTTGAAACCCCTTCATGCCCCTCCATCAACTGAAATAGTCAGGTCAAAAACATGGGTTATTCTTTCTCTCTTCCTCATAAAACAGAATTTTGTCATAAAATAGATGCGGTACCAGATAATAATAATTATAATATTTTGCCTCTTAAATAGCGCTGAACTCAAGGAGATGCTCTAAGCGCATACAACAGGATGGACATCGTTACCTCGGATAACCCAAGCTGCCTGTGAGGCGCTGGAAGGTTAATAGTAATATGACTTATATCACCGGGTACCCATTTTCTGCTGGGTGAATAGAGGCAATTTTGAACAAACTCACTTGCCTAAGGTGTGACCACATAGGTCCTTCGTTGCACTCAGGAGTCAAGCTGCCAAACACGGTCACCCATCCAAAAACTCTCCGTGACCAACGTTGCTTAAGTTCACCTGAGTTGTGACTTGCGCTCCATGCACAAGACCACACGTCACCACGATATTTGAATGAGAAAAGGATAGCGCCAGCAAAACCTGACGTGATACTGGTGGTACATGTTTGCCGCTTGATGATATCCAGTAGCACGGGTATGGTGCTTGGAAAAACCTACAAACGAGTGTACTGCGCAACCAGCGGAATTTGTAATAGGCTAGGGGCCAGACTCATGCACCGGCTTTCGTCTGAAACGCGTTGAGAGTTACTTCCCCTTTCGAGCCTGAAGATCTGAAGAAGGAGGTGACAGAGAACGTCAAACGTTTTTATTTCATTAGTCTAAAGGATATAACTCTTGTAGTTTGAACTTTTACATATGATTAAAATGTATCATGTTGGATGCAAGCGTTGGTTGGACATTTTCAAACGATTTACCTTCACTTTAAGGAAGAAATATGAATACATGATTGAAGTATTTTTATTTAGATTCTGTGTACAAAATATTGGTAATGATAACCAGTACAATCTACCACATTTACCATTTCTTGGCAGGATGAAAAAATCCCACTCGCTCGTTGTGACGTATAAAGCGAAACTAGCGCCACCCCGTGGTGCCATCTTAACCTTTTCTCTCCCTTGCGCCCCCTAGCGGCGGACTGTGACAGGAGAAGCTGTGATGGTTAATCCGGCGTTCTGTAATCTCCGTAGGGATAAAGGAGGCGACAGGGGAGATTATCCCTGTCACAGCGCTCCTGCACCCGACAGCAGAGATTAGGGATTAGAGACGCGAGTTGTTGGACACGGGGTTGTGGTGAGTTGGCAGTGGAGGGCTGACGGGAACACAAGGGGAACCAGCACGTAGACATGCCGGTATACTAGATATGGTGCACGACACGGCACAAGTAACAATGTAGGGGAGTGAGCAAATAAAAACATATTGTCAAACGAATCTAGCTTGGCCCTACCAGACCGTTTAATGCTGGAAACACATCAGCCTTCAGCATTGTGAGTTCGTGTGTTCCTGTTATGTTGATATTCTACACCATGACGTCGTATAGTGTAAAGGATAGTGTGCTTACTTGTCAGGCATATGTGTGCCCAGATTTTAGGCTCATTATTTCCATTCGTCGATATTAATGTAATGTAACCAGTCAAGAGTAGTGTGGTAGCCAGTTCAGATACTAACAGATAAAAGTCGGATATTTTTACCCACCCATTCCAAACTGGTGCACACAAAGCGCTTAAACCGTAGGCTTGTGCAAAATTGTGCTTGAATTGTGTCTTGAATGAGTTCAGATTATTGTAGTTTCAGATGACAAATGGAAGAGACTTCCACAGAACAGGTTCGGCTTTCCGGAAATCGCTGTCGCTACAGGTCTTGGATGTTCTTGTAGCTTTGCTTGATCTGCTGACCGAAGGCTTGTAGATATTGATTACATGGTTCCGCGCAATGGGATCCACTTGGAGCCAATAGGGAGCCCTCAGGTGTGTGTAGCTGTGTGTGTTATAAGTCTGGCTTTCGACCTGTTAATGTTGCGACTGATTTGGTCGTTGTTTGTTTCTGTAATAGGTCAGCTTACAAACTGAGTTCACATGCTTTTCCATATTACCCCAGACTCCGACTTGACCACTTTAGTGTGACAATGTCCAGGTGTAGGAGAGCTATGTATCAGTGAAGCTGTCTGGAGCTGAGAATCAAGACGTTAGTGTGGCAATGGTGCAGGTGTAGGAGAGTTATGTTTGAGTGAAGCTGTCTGGAGCTGAGAATCAACACTTTAGTGTGGCAATGGTGCAGGTGTAGGAGAGCTATGTTTGAGTGAAGCTGTCTGGAGCTGAGAATCAACACTTTATTGTGGCAATGTCCAGGTGTAGGAGAGCTATGTTTGAGTGAAGCTGTCTGGAACTGAGAATCAACACTTAAATGTGGCAATGTCCGGTGTAGGAGAGCTATGTTTGAGTGAAGCTGTCTGGAGCTGAGAATCAACACTTTAGTGTGGCAATGTCCAGGTGTAGGAGAGCTATGTTTGAGTGAAGCTGTCTGGAGCTGAGAATCAACACTTTAGTGTGGCAATGTCCAGGTGTAGGAGAGCTATGTTTGAGTGAAGCTGTCTGGAGCTGAGAATCAACACTTTATTGTGGCAATGTCCAGGTGTAGGAGAGCTATGTTTGAGTGAAGCTGTCTGGAACTGAGAATCAACACTTTAGTGTGGCAATGTCCAGGTGTAGGAGAGTTATGTTTGAGTGAAGCTGTCTGGAGCTGAGAATCAACACTTTAGTGTGGCAATGTCCAGGTGTAGGAGAGCTATGTTTGAGTGAAGCTGTCTGGAAGTGAGAATCAACACTTTAGTGTGGCAATGTCCAGGTGTAGGAGAGCTATGTTTGAGTGAAGCTGTCTGGAACTGAGAATCAACACTTTAGTGTGGCAATGTCCAGGTGTAGGAGAGCTATGTTTCAGTGAAGCTGTCTGAACTGAGAATCAACACTTTAGTGAAATCAACACTGTAGTGTGGCAGTGTCCAGGTGTCCAGGTGTAGGAGAGCTATGTTTGAGTGAAGCTGTCTGGAACTGAGAATCAACACTTTATTGTGGCAATGTCCAGGTGTAGGAGAGCTATGTTTGAGTGAGTGAAGCTGTCTGGAGCTGAGAATCAACACTTTAGTGTGGCAATGTCCAGGTGTAGGAGAGCTATGTTTGAGTGAAGCTGTCTGGAGCTGAGAATCAACACTTTAGTGTGGCAATGTCCAGGTGTAGGAGAGCTATGTTTGAGTGAAGCTGTCTGGAGCTGAGAATCAACACTTTAGTGTGGCAATGTCCAGGTGTAGGAGAGCTATGTTTGAGTGAAGCTGTCTGGAAGTGAGAATCAACACTTTAGTGTGACAATGTCCAGGTGTAGGAGAGCTATGTTTGAGTGAAGCTGTCTGGAGCTGAGAATCAACACTTTAATGTGACAATGTCCAGGTGTAGGAGAGTTATGTTTGAGTGAAGCTGTCTGGAAGTGAGAATCAACACTTTAGTGTGGCAAGTGAGGTTTGGTAAGTGAGACTTCACATGATTGCAGTATCTCACACTCCATGCAAGACACGTTTATCAGGGTTATCATTGACATGAACAGTATACGCATCTTGTGTAGATTCGAACCCGACAAATTACTAACTAAATTCACTCATCTGCCTGCTGTTATGTAACACGAATGGATGACTTATGTTTATAGCAATAACGATAAATATTTAGAGACAAAATGGTTCTTTAGTCTTAGCTTAGGTGAAGGAAACCTTCGTTTAGTTGTAGTTTCCTTAATCAACACTTGGCAGTTTTATCTGAGGATTCGGATGACGGCGTAAACGTCGCTCCATTTCATCCCAGCGGTGTTCAGAGCGTGACAAAATCGGACACGTGTCCTGCCGTCATATAATATAGATTCATTCCACATGTTCATCTACAAAGCTTAGGAAGCCTCGAAATGAATCTCCCCATAAAGCGGTTATATTCCACTGTAGTGAGGCGAGTACCACGTAAGGAAAGCCTTGTAACCCAATGGTATAAGTACACGAAGAAAACCAAAACACGATGTTTTCTTGTGATGATTTATTAACAGACTGGCGATCTCATCCAGCTACAACTTCACAGTTACGATATGTGTCTGTTTCTAGATGAAGTTATTGTAGTAGTTGCCGAGAGTTGAGAGTCGGGCTGAGGTGAGGTCCAACAAGCTGTCCTGGGCTTTGGCTGCCCCCCCGCCGGCTACCCGACTGGCGTACCACGAATACCGCGCCACATAGTCAGCTCGCTCCAGGCGCGGCAACATTTCCTTCATGTAAGCAAGGGCATGGTCGACATTGTTGCTTGGACACGCAAATTCAGTCAGCCATATTGGTTTCTTAAAATTGTCCCAGAGTTCCTTCAGGAAGTTCATAGTGGTGTCAGCTGTGCACCAGTACGCATGCGTGGCAATGTAATCTACCCGGCATCCCTTGCACTGTTGGAAGAACTCGTGGTACCACTGTACGCCGTCCATTGTGCAGTGGTCCGAGTGGCACCTGATGGCGGCCGGACCCACCAGGAGTTGGTGCTGTCGGTCAGCTCTGGCCTGGATCACCTTCCATGCTGCCGCCGCCTCAGTCGGACTCAGGTTGGCCTGCTTCTTGTGGTTGGGCTCGTTGAAGCCGAGGACGTACTGACTTGTGTCGTTACTGAAAATACCCTTAGTTAATTATTGCAGTGAAAATGTAAATGTCGTTCTACACCACAGCCAGCATTATCAAAGAGAAATGTACTTCAAGAATCCGGATCAGACAAGGCAGTGAACAACAAACCACGGTACGGTGACATGCCGTCAGTGAGCCGATTCTCATGTTACTCGACACATGGTACATGGGACCTACTCTCGGACTCCGCACAGGGTTTATATTCAATATGGAAATGATTATTCAATATCTCAGTTTGGCGGTTCACCAAAGGCCTGCAATGTTCGTGGTAACAAAAAGTAATAATATACAGGTGGCTTGACGAATCGATGGTTTAAGCAGGCGATGAACTAAAAGAATTATAAGAGATATGTCAACATGCATATCACACATGATCTGTAATAAAACAACATCGGTGGGGTCATGTTACAAAGTCAGTGAAATGACTAAATATTAGCCAATAAATTTAGATGATTTATCACATAAAAGAGAATTTTCCAAGAAATGAACTCGGCATGCTAAAGGTTTCGACATTTTCGGATGCAAGGCTTATGACCAGAAGCGCTGTCGGGTTTCATGCGTCCTCCTATGAGATTTCACGTGGTATTGAAGAAGATCCAACTGATTTTGTGGAGCGATATATAACTACGGATGGTGACAGACTAAAATATATCCAGAGCTTTGGAAATATATACTGTCTCCTCTCAAGAAGAAAGCAACATCTGTTTCATCAGCTGGCAAGGTGGTGGCGTTAATATTCACTCTGGTTTCAACCTCATCTCAAACCTTAAGACAGGTCCGTCTGGCCAGCTATGTAGACCTCAGAGGGGATTATTGAGATTATCGGTAGTTCATTTGTGGTCGGAGAACTGCTGGCTGAACTGGGCCTAAGAATCGAGACAGTATTTCTTCCCACGGCTTTGACTGTAGCTAGTCTGTTGTTGATCATCCATAGTTATACATCGCTTAACTAAATCAGTTGGATCTTCAAATCCACGTAAAGTCTCACAGCAGAGCACATGAAACCTGAAAGCTCTTCTGGTAAGGAGTCATAAGCCTAGAAGGTTGTGGATCTCGGAGCGGATGTGAACCAACATCAGCAACTAACCCCATCATGGCAGTCCATCATGGACAGGCCGAGCTAGCACCGTACTTCTCCGACCACAGATTGATTACCGATAAGCGGTGGCAAACACATAACTATTTTGCAATCGTGAGAATATGCTTACCTGCAAGCAAATCGAGGACAACTGCGCCACAGCTCATATACTGATCAGGTGAGTAGATGGGTGAAAACAAACCATGGGGACCACTCATACATCGTCTATATATGTCAATGTGTATGTTTCGGGGTTTACTTTCTCCCAACTCTCTAAATCATGCCACCATTTTCCAATAAACAAACAGAAACTCAAAACTAAATATAAGTAGTGAATAAAGAATGACTGCAGGACAATTATCAAAGGCCGAGGCGCTGTGGTCCACATTATCACCAGTAAGAAGAAAGCATCGTATACATGCTGTTAAGGGGATACGATAGATGGAAATATACCAACTGGAAGTGTATAGGGTGGTCAATATTCTTCCTCCACCCCCACACCATGGGCACCCTCCTGGCAGGGTGATGTTGTGGGTGCAGTGACCCACCTTGGCGTGGTACCAGGGGGTCTGCTTCCAGTCATACCTGCAACACAGGGAGGGCAAACCAATATACATGTACAATATACAACACGGGGGTGCACGAGTCAAACTGAATCAAACCTTCAACACAGTAGTACACCACAGGGGTACACGAGTCAAACTGAATCACACCCTCAGTACAGAGTAACACTGCCTGCGATATGTACAATATACAACACAGGGGTACACGAGTCAAACTGAATCACACCCTCAGTACAGAGTAACACTGGCTGCGATATGTACAATATACAACACAGGGGTACACGAGTCAAACTGAATCACACCCTCAGTACAGTGGCAGATATGTACAACATACAACACAGGGGTACATTGTAGGACTACAAGCGACACTGACAGTTTATATATAAATGTTTATGGAAAGGTAATCAAGTTATACTTCTGACGTGCACGTCTTATGTTGAAACGTAAGATGCTTTTTGAAGAATTCCATCACACACCCATGGGCGAGAAATGTAGATTCTACAGACGCTTCATACAATCTAAGACATTACAGTGCTGTTTGGCCTCCGTAAAACATGCTTGTCATATGGATTGACCAAATGGTAGTCACTCTCGGTGACTTGATTGACTGTGTACCATCGCGTCCTGACAATGTGGATCGTTGGTTACAATATCAATCACTGGATTGTCTGGTCCAGTGCCGCCGTCATGCACGTGCGCGCAAGTATTAGAACTAATAAAAATTGCGTTTTTATACTGCCAGGCCACTAAAACGCCATACCGCAGTACAATATGGATACCCAACTCAGAAGTATTCTGACTGCAAGCCGCTCTCTCCTCGTTTTACTCCCTCAGCGTGTACGACATGTGGGTAAAATATAGCTATAAAAATCACACTTTACGTAGATGAAACCAGAACTGAAATAAACAAACAGTCTCGTCTCACCACCATGCTATGTTGGTGAAGGCGTCGGTGTCGCCGCATTGGTAGTTGGTCTTGGAGATGGCGGCCCCTTTCTTGTAGGAACCAGCGGCCAGACAGACCAGGCTGACCAAGACAAAAACTGCAAACCAGGTTGTCATTGTATTGCCACCAACACAAGAACAGCAGATAGCACGGACTGGAGAGTACACAGCTGGTGAGTGTTGTCAGATAGCATTTTGTCACGAACAAGACACAGTTAGCAAAAGGTTAAAACATGGCTCCCGTCAGTATCACGACATTCACTGGAAAAAGTAAACTATGGTTATGGCGAACTTAGTGGCCATTAATTGTAGCTCGTTATAACACAGTTTACTGTAGCATTACTCTTCGATAACAGAACAAAAGATACCGTTAGCACACCAACGCTTGCGTTGTAACGCAGTTTACTGTAGCATTACTCGTCGATAACAGAACAACAGGTACCGCTAGCACACCAACGCTTGCGTTATAACACAGTTTACTGTAGCATTACTCTTCGATAACAGAACAACAGGTACCGCTAGCACACCAACGCTTGCGTTATCACACAGTTTACTGTAGCATTACTCTTCGATAACAGAACAACAGATACCGTTAGCACACCAACTCTTGTGTTATAACACAGTTTACTGTAGCATTACTCTTCGATAACAGAACAACAGATACCGTTAGCACACCAACTCTTGTGTTATAACACAGTTTACTGTAGCATTACTGTAGCATTACTCTTCGATAACAGAACAACAGATACCGTTAGCACACCAACTCTTGTGTTATAACACAGTTCACTGTAGCATTACTCTTCGATAACAGAACAACAGATACCGTTAGCACACCAACTCTTGCGAGTGAGTGAATGCTGTTTTACGCAATCAGGGCAGATTGAATAACACCCAGTTAGGGCGAAGAGATGAAGTGTCCAGAAGCACGAGATCCACACAGCGGCACGAGATAACACAATCCGCCAACTCATACAATATACAATACATGTCACTGTGGGTATTTTGGAACGTAAGTTTTCAGTTTGGGTGGGTCACTGTCGGTGTACATGACATCCTGTGCAGCTGTTGCACATTTTCCAGTTTCATTATCTATATGTAACTGTCTGTTTGTGACAGTCTATTCAATGAAAATCTTTCAATATTTATGCCATGAAGCAGGGTTGGAAAGTTGCACCTACAGCCAAAGAACCTAACTCCGCCGTGTCCCTGTGCAATACATTATAACAAGGTTCGACAGCGCGCACGCACGCACGCACGCACGCACCCACACACACACACACACACACACACACACACACACACACACACACACACACACACACACACACACACACACACACGAACAAACATAAAGGTAAAAGGGTAAACATAACATTAGTATTTAGTAATTCTAGCTCATTGAAAAGTTATTAATCAATTCCCCAGTGCGATTTTTCAATATCTGAAACCTCAGATCCATTGTGTGAAACCAGTACAGCTTCTTCCTCATCCTGGGGCACCTCAGGATCGGATAACGTTTGGCCATCAGAAGGTCAGCACAGACGCTTGGTATCAACAAAAGTGGAAATGATTGAGCAATGTGTTGAAAGTGCGCCTCTTACCTCAAACAAGAATGCACAGGAACTTTAACGGATGTAAAGATCGCCTCATCATCAGGCGTGTAATTTTCCAAAAGTAACTGACCATCATCAAAGCTGTCTCGGACTGTCGGGCAGGCGAGTATTTTAAACACACTGGACAGGATATACTTGCAAGTAAGTTGTTACACATCTTCCAAAGACAAGGAAATTAACCGACTAAAGAAACCCAGGTACCCCCTTGCCGAACTGGGCATGTATTCAATCCAGACAATCCCTGATCTCTCTGCTAAACGGTTGGTCTGTTATTGTCATGCTTGATATTTTACACTAAAACAAAAGTTAGTTCTGATAACAAACTGAATAAGTTGGGAGAACGATTTGTTTGTTGAATACAGTCACACATGCCTTATTATATGAAATACATTTGTATGTCAATACTCGAACTGACATGCCTGTGAGTTTTATATCAGGTTGATGTATATTTGATATAAAGATATCCTGATGTGACATTCTGTGATTTTACTTTCAATTGTAATTTACGAATGAACAATTCGATTATTAAACACTGCTTCAGGACAAAATCACTTCGATCAGCAAGTATTAAACAAAATCACGATTAGTTTCCTGACATGTTTTATTTCAAGTTGTAAGAGTTGCGGGTCAATGTGTCTGGCATATCTTCAGGTGGCTGGCTATCTCTGGGTGGTTGTTGGTGTAAGCGTACGATAGAACCTCGAACATCTGGGGATCGTGCTGCTTCAGCCAAGCCCGCGCATGCGCCTCGGTGTCACAGTAGTAACCGTGGCCACACCTGAAACACAATTTGTGGAAAACATGACTTTTGATGAAAACTGCTTCCTCAATAGAGTGAAACCTTGGGAGGAAGAACAAAGATGAGATTAACCGAGGAACCAGGTTGGAGGAACAAATGTTTCCAGCGAACACATGGAACTTCTGTATTAAACATAGTAACATATATGCAGTAAGGTAATTTGTCAATCACGACGATTTACCTCTTGAACAGTAGCTGCGCCCGTACAGGAACGAGGTTTTACTGAAGTAAAGTTGAGTTACTACATGATTTGTGTTGAGCAAGACTACCGAGATGTTCAGTGACAAGTTGGCCTGCCTGTTGATGATGAATGTCAGAGTAACAGCTATCCTCATCAGGAGTAAAACACAATGTCTCAATTCCATACATGGCAAGGTCAAGATTTAGAGACCAAAACACGACAACCGAACAAGGAACACAGTCTCTCTGTGAACAAACTTGACTTAACGTGCTTTTGGAATTTTTTTCCAAAATTTCTAACTAAAAAGCATATTATTCACTGGTTCATGCCGGCTGCACTGGTCTGCTGGTTGACGTTGAAGAAGGCGGTAGACGCTTCCGCGAAGTATTCCTTGTAGTTGGTCATAGCATAGGCTGAGTGGGTCCACAGTCCTGCTGCCTTGGCGTGGTTGTAGGCAGCGACGACCTGGACGGGAGCAGATCTCACTTTAGTGTTAGCATTAACCACATCTATACCACTGTTCAATAGTCTTACCAATCTCATGTTACACATACTTCAAATATTGTAGACATAAGCGACAAAACCCTGTCTAAACTCTCTGCTATAAAAGCATAGTCGATTGTACAATTTTGACCATATCATGAGTATATATTTGTTATAGCTGTATTACAGCTGTATGATGTTGTTTGTAAACAATCCTGACCAGACAATCCAGTGATTGTCACCATGCGATACGATTACAGAGCATGTGTTTATGAATCCCTATGAAATAGTGATGATACCGGGTGTTCGCAAAAAAGTGAGCGTATCCTGCCCCACCGGTGGCAAAATCAGTTTGCACCCGCGCTTTATCCCAAACGTTCAAAGGATATGTTCGATTTTATTAAATAGGTTGTGGGTAGATTATTATTTGGTACTTCACTTCAGAGAAAAAACCCAAACAATTGCATTTTTTTAGGAGCTGCTATGGAAACGATATGTGATGTTACGATACTGCCGTGTACACTACTAATAAGAACAGTTGCTTGGTCAGTGCTAACGGACCGATTGACCCAAAATGGACGATGCCACGTGAGGTAACAACAGATATGTCGCTGGACAGGATAATACACCATGGAGTTGGGTCACCACTGACAACACCATGTGTAATATACGTGTTATCCATCGTCTTCTCGTGCATGGAACATACTTCAGATAGATTCCGAGGAACACACCTTGTGATTGTAGGTGGAATCGAGCCCATACTTCTGGACGCCATGACCGAACTCATGCACTAGGATGTTTTCTCTGTGATGGTGAGGGTCGCGGGCCGTGCACAGGACGTTGTCGTCCAGGATGAGGGCTCTTCCGCTCCCATCAACCCCGCCGAGGGACTCCCACTTCCGGCCGTCACTTGTACAGGTGTGGGCGCAGTGGCCAGCACACGTCCCTAGGACGTAAGTCAACACAAACTGCAATGGCTGGCGTACTGTGGTTCTACACGCGGGAGTCTCAGACACCAGAACCTATTAATGTCTCGGCTTAGCTCGTAATAATGATCACAGTCGTGTACAATTGAGTAATGTTTAATGTGTACAACCTCTGTACGTACTGTACGTCAAAAACAATGTAATCTATTGTCATCGAACTGGTTTGCTTATAGATATTTAAGGTTGATTGGTGAAGCCAGGTGTCCCCGTGAGAGATATTGATTGAGTGTAGCGAAAAGAGGAATAATATCCCGCTCACTCACACACATGTCCCAGGACTTTGAGCTAGTACGTGAAACATGTATATAGTCGACACGGTACCTTTGCAGTCCGGTGTATCTTTCAGATGATAGAACTCGGGGTAGATTGTGATCTTCTCTGCTTTTGTGAAGACGCCTACTGTGGATTTCTCAGCGAGCCCTGAGAACACCGCTGTTGGCATGTGACGAGACTGTAGGCTGACGACCAGAGCTGCCTGTAGCACAAAGAAGGGATGGAATACCAATGATGATGACAGTCTGCCATTTTGCATCACACAGTTGTATCATTAGGAGGATTCAGTGGTGAATAGGTCCCTGGTGGTCCAGGGTGAGGGCCGACAAGAGAGAGCCAGGACATCATGTGACCAGGTTAATTGTGTTCCATCGACTGCAACAGTGCCCATGTTAGTTCAGTCAATGTTTGGGTTGATTTGTTGTTTTACGCCGCACTCAGCAGCATTCAAGCTATATTTCGGCGATCTGCATATAATCAAATCTGGACCAGACAATCCAGTGATCAACAGCATGAGCATCGAACTACGCATTTGGGATACGATGACATGTGTCAACCAAGCCAGCGAGCCTGACCATCTGATCCCGTAAGTCGCCTTCACGACAAGCCTGGGTTGCTGAAGACCACTTCTCGCTCGGATCTTCACGGGTTTACTGTTTGGAGAGATTAGCAGGCGGCCATGATAGACCTGCATAGATGCTGATTGTTGTCTTCACACATTGACAAGTGACACGATTCCTGAAAAAAGCTTTTCCTGAGAATTCGTGTAATGATTTTATACAGGTACCACATGTCTAAATCTGAGAGCAGGTTGCTGATATATATATTCAGTGCCACCTCATGGTGAGGAGAACAATTACATGACCGCATATTTCCGTTGTCAGTGTGAGACATCTTGACTGACATATTATAGCAACTTTACATTACATGACCGCATATTTCCGCAATTTGCCGCACGCTAATATTGAGCTTGACATACACGTATCCCTTACCGCATATACTGCACTGTCCGGAGCATGCGGACTTCCTGCAATTTCTATCCAGTGACCCGATGATTGTTTCGAGTCCTTGATGACTCCACCTTGACCTACATACTTGACCTTGAACCCTGCCGGAAGTGCTAAGCGAGATGAGGGTAGACGCTCCAGAAACCTGTAGTCCTCAGGACTGAAGCATATTGTTTAAGACGTCAATCTGCTAAATAAACTACAAATAAATGTAGACTAGACGATTCAAAATACTATGATCCCCAGGGAGTTGAGATTGATAATACATTGTGCCGTTTGAGACTGACATCCAATGATCGAGGGAAAACGAAACAAATTCTGCTATAAATGCACCACCTCAGGAAACAAAATATGAAAGAAACAGTTTGTGTATTTGAGATAGGCAGAAGTCCGCTAGAATCAAAATTATATATTAAAGTATAACAGAGCATGAAAGAACAATTTGAAACTACAATCGCTTGTTAAAGTGACTCTCCCCTTCATGTTTTCTGAGGTGCTTGTTTTCGAGACACTACCCACCCCTCTTTCAGATGACGTAATCATAAGGGCATAACTTATTCAAATGTTGTCACTTATTCATACATGATGCCAAGGGTTCAAACTAAATACTGAATGGTCACACAAGTGTCAGCTCACACTATATTGTAAACAGTGCCAGCTTGAATATCTGGAACAATGCTTTTGAAAGACTAAAATGGGTGTGTCCTTAGAAAAACAGCCCCCGTCTAAATATAAATCAACCAATCCAACTCTTTCAATGTTGATTATGACGGGAAGTCATCCAACATATTTCACATCATACTATCTGAGGGCATACCATTATCCAAGAGGTACCATTTTCTGCAATTTTTAAAGAAATATTATACCCCAATATGTTGACTAATATCTCGTTAACCACATTACCCACATATGTGAAATTTTGGAAATGCCTTTGCTAATAATACCTTCAAAATAAAATGGAAGCTTTTCAAACATTGGACATCGGGGATATAATTAGGCTGACTACTTTGTAAACGTCCCTCGTATTTCAGTTTCGATTCTTGTGTTAGATATACTACTGCCATTCACTGTGATGAATTGCTAAGGTGTGTGTTACCTGAGCCTGGGTATGCCTTGTGCCAGAGTACCTGCAGGAGAATCACATTTAGTTAGGATTTCACAACCAATTATACAGTGTATGCTTAAATGTTTGGCACCAAAGGTCGTAATTTATTGGCATCAACCAAAATACCTCTGTATAAATTAAACTCACACAGTCTGTCCCATTCTAAAATTCAAATTGAGGCAAAATATAGATCGAGTTATGTTCAACATTCAAATTGGGGCTGTTGATTTCCCGTTTCAACAACGAACGTACCTGATATTTTCCTATGTTTTAAATATAAGTGCAAAGGAATTCCTGTCTTAGCTGTCCTAAAAAAACAGATTCCATTTGGTGTAAAGCGCAAATAATTGAGAAAAGAGTGTGAATATACCACCGCCCTTCCATTCACACATTTTGACGAATAGTGTAAATATGTACATCTCGACGCCTGACATGCGACGACGGCCTGTAAACAAACTTGTAATCGATGGCCTATGAACCAACTGGACAATCAAGTGATCGATGGCCTGTAAACCAACTGGACAATCAAGTGATCGATGGCCCAGACATATAGTTCCAACAGTTTAATATCCTTTAATCCATCTGACCATCAGATAGTGGTAATGTTCATATGTAACAGACCGACTTTTGTTAACACGAGGACAAAGTGAAGAGATGTGGGCCTTTACCAGCAATGGCGACCAAACCCACACTGACTACCAGCAACCTGCAACAGAAACAGAATCTATTATTACACTTATATTCAAACAACACTGTTTTAAAATGTATATTAACATGCAACAGTGAGAGTTATTTGTCTATTCAAACATAACGATGCCTTATATGTGTAATAAAGTATGATAGTGCTCTTATATGGATAGATAGATAGATATACTTATATGTACGAGTATAGTAAAGTTTTATAGATTTCTTACATATGTTTCAAAGTGTTCTTATACTGCAACAGGACGAACTGTATGTATTTACATAACAATGAAATTATTTTTGTGTTTTTCCCGATCATGTATTATAAGGGAACGCACATCTTAACAACCACGATTTTAATATGCTATTAATAAAAGTATACCAGAAATAGTTTGATTCCGAACTTTTTCACGATTTATATTATCTAATAATGTATTTGATAAACAACACACACGACCTTTAGTTTGCCTTAAGTTGAATTATTTTACATGGCAGTCTAAACTGTGATTAAACTGAACAGTTTTAGTGTTATGCACGGATGTACAGAGATAGTGTTATAAAGGTGTTATACAGAAATAATTTTATACGCAGGTAATTTTATAATGGAGTAATGTTATGCAAATATCCTGCAATACATACGAAATGTTTTGCAGGTGTAATGTTGTACAGAGGTAACGTTATACTGAGGTAACATTATACAGGGGTAGCCTTATACTGAGGTAACATTATGCAGGGGTAGCGTTATATTGAAGTAACATTATACACATGTAATGTTAACAAAGGTAATCTTACACTGAGGTAACGTCCTTCTGAAGATAATGTCACAGAGAGGTAATATTACTCTCAAAGACGTATACTGCGGCTATGAAAGGTATATGAAATTCACATAGACACAACGCTTGAGACTGTAAACATTGCAGATCATGGCACACAAACAAACAATCAGAATGTGAATAATGTATGCTTGAAAACAGTATTTACCATTCCATGCTGTACGGTGCTGTCTGAATATTGTAAAAATCGGCAGTGGTTCACGCACCTGTCACGTTACATGTTGATAACGAAAACGCTTTATATCCCAAGGCGAGCTGAATTCGACGTTCTGGTCATTTCGACGATTGCATTGCTCGCGCTATATCGGGTGAGTACGTGTACGATGAGTGTGCACAAACAGTTTCACTGGTAGGGCAGGTGCCAAGTCGCTGTCGTGAGAAGTTTTATTGACAATGGAAATCGGGAAGTAAAGTTATATAAAAAGCAAACAAACATCAATATTATTTACCCGAGATCGTTAATACCACTTTAGATGCAAAATAAGTTGCCTTTATAACAAAACATAGCAAGTGAAAATTCAGTAAGATCAGTCGTCTGCTGGTGACAGGCAGTATATAAATAGGAAGCCACGTGATCACAACACTCCCTCGCAGTGTGGAGCAAAAATTATGGCTCATCGTCGAAAACCCATACAAAATACCCGGATGTTACGAACGGCAACAGTTTCGCCGATTTTACGTTTTTGTCTTACATCGTCGAAAACCCCTGACACCGGGATATAGTATGACCAGAAATTATTGGGAATTTTAGGAATATGTTTAATTGGATTTCTAGTATAAACAACCTTGACCAGCTATCAAGTGCTTGGTTTCATTCAAGAGAGACAACTCCGTTAATCCTTTTTCATTAGTTTGTGAAGAGTTACCCCCCTTTGTTTACTTGCTAGCAGACGACATTTTCAGTGATCCTCAGTATGGATGATTTAGAGAAAAGGAAGTTGATTTCAGAGTATTATAACAAGGACATCAGATCAGCTAAAGTGATTTCAAGTAGAACAGGCATCCCTTTGTCCACTGTTAATCGTGTTTTGAAAAATATTGCAAATGGATATGGCATTGAGCACCAGGGAGGCGCAGGTAGGCCCAGAAAATTGATTGTCGGTGACAGGAGGCGGCTTGGTATTCTTGTTTCTAAAGACAAACGAAGGAGTTTAGAAAACTTATGGCTGGATATGATTGATAGAGGAACTGTGGCTCTCTGTAAGGAGACAATTAGAACTGAGTTGCATGCAATGGGTTGGCAGAAGAGTCGAGGAATTCCATCACCGATCATTAAACCTGAACAAATGGAGCGAAGGTTGAACTGGTGCTTACAGCATAGAAATTTTAACTGCGACAATGTGATTTTCTCAGATGAAAGTTCTGTGTGGCTGTTTCCTAATACACTGAAATTCTGGACCAAACAAACCGAAAAAGCTTTGTATCAGCGCCCAAAGTACAGTCCGAAATTTAACGTGTGGGGTGGCATATCTGTGTTAGGGGCAACGCCCCTCTGTGTATCTGAAGGGAATATGAACAGTGAGCGGTACACAGATATTCTCGAGGGTCATTTACTTCCATCTGTTCACGTGTTCTATGGAAATATGACATTATTAGATTTACCAAGCTATAGACCTGACCTAAATCCAATAGAAAATGTTTGGGGACTTATGAAGGAAAGTGTCAATAAAAAAAAATGACAAATATTGCTGAAATGAAAGAAGAGGTGGTCCGATATTGGGACAGCATGGACCACGACTTTCTAACTTCTTTTATCAGTAGTATGCCCCGCCGCATTGAAGCCTGCATTGCTGCCCATGGTGATTTGACAAAATACTAACTGTTCACCTGTCTTTGAATTTGGAGTTATGTTCTGCTAATATTCACATTTAATACGTGAGTAATGAGTAAAAAAAATAAAATAATTTACAATCTTAAATTCTCAATAATTTCTGGTTGTACTGTAGTTTCAAGAATAAGGCTTGCGGTGCGTGCGTGCGTGCGTGCGTGCGTGCGTGCGTGTGTTGTGATGTGATGGTTGTCTGAGGCCCATGCTGTCGGTCACTACTTTCCTCGACCAAGATTCGACAGCTGGAATACTGCTGATTGCTACGTGAAATTATATTCACCAGCTCGTGTTCACACAATAGAAGAAACTCCCCTTCAGGATTTGGCCGAGGGAGATCCGTGTGTATAACCATTGTAACCAACCATATGTACAAATTAATGTATACCGGAAACGGGCAGAGAGACAGTTGCTGTATTGATTTAGGCATCAATGTCCATGATGCAGGGCAGATTGCAGATCAGCAGCCTCGCCATTATGCTTGTGCAAAGGAATTCTAAATTAACAGTTCACTCTGACGTCTAAACAAGCTAAAACAGAGAATGTAGTCAATTTGCAACTTCGTTTATTGGCGAGTTTTGATAAGGACGGCAGTGTAATGTATATATATGTACACATTCACGGGAAGGTTGATGATCTGTCACACCATTTAGCATCAAAATTAACAGTATCACTAACGTTTTGAACAGTTGTGTTGATTGGTCACTTTTCGCGGATGATTTCAAATTCCCGGGACTTATATTTAACCTCCACTAAACATTCTTACCACACATAATATGTGCTTGAATGGTCTTGACTTGACTACAAGTCGTTTAAAATACTGAGTGGGGAGGCGCTTTGACAACCCTTCCTTACCTGTACAGGTCATTAAGTCGCTCTAAACTAGATTATGGCTCCGTTGTCTATGGTGGAGCCTGCAGAAATACTTCTGTTTGCCCACACTTGCAGATGGTAAACCACTGGTTGACCTTACTCTCACCAATCTTTAGAAAATCCTAAACAAATCATTTGGTTTTTCAACAGGAATACAATCAGTTACTCTCCAAATATGCTATTCATAATCGATTTTTCAGTCAGATTTAAGAACGATGGCAAAGTTGCCAGTGTCACAGCCATTGGTTCCAAGACTGTCTCCTCAAGAATCCCAGACAACAGTTCAAGTTTCATTTGCTGAATCCAAATCCATCTTTACGCCTTTGATTTATATCAAACAACAAAACCCTTGTAAAAAGTGCAACATGTCTCCTCGAGTCATCCTTTCATCCTGGACATTGTTGATAACAAATTTCAGATCATAGCGTAATTTCATTGTCGCTAAACTTTCATAGCTCTGTCAGAATGCCAATAATTAAGACTTGTCGAAAATTTAAAACTATTGACAAGGAAAAACTCAGCAATGACATAATGCTTTCTCCACTATTTTTGGACCCTCCATCAGACATCCACGAAAGGACTGAGCTGTATAATCAGACTCTTAAGGACATCTTAGACAGGCATGCTCCAGCCAAAACCAGACGTTTTCTCCAGAGGACAGACTGTCCGTGGTACACTGAAGACATCCACAGTGCCAAATGTGAAAGACGTCGAGCAGAACGAAAATGGCGTAGGTCAAAGCTTGAAATCGATCGGCAGATTTATAAATCTTATAGGAGCAAGGTCAATAAGATGATTAAACACTCCAAACGTCAATTTTGCAAAGAAGAAATTATGAAATTTTCAAGCAAGCCACGAAATCTTCATAATTTTATGAATACTCTCTTGAGCACAAATAGAGAATGTGTTCTCCCAGATTCAGATGATTTCTCTAAATTAGCAAATGACTTTAACAGCTATTTTGAATCCAAAGTCCGAAACATTAAAACTCTTTTTCATGGAAACAGTCCAGTCAAAAGACAAGGCACTCAGTCTGAGTTCACTGGAACAATCCTGTTCAAGTTTGAACCATTCTCGCAGCACGAAGTTAGACTTCTCATCAGATCATCAAACGTAACAACCTGTTTGAGTGACCCAATCCCAAGCAAAATGATTGTTGATCACATGACCTCTATGCTGCCCGTCATCACAGACATCATCAACAAGAGTCTATCGGAGGGTGTGTTTCCGCATAACATGAAGACTGCTATCATCAAACCACACATAAAACAAAAGAACCACGACTCAACGGTCCTTAAAAATTACCACCCGGTCTCTAACTTGCCCTACCTGTCCAAACTGATTGAACGAGCAGTTACGAAGAGACTCATGGATCATCTGTCTGAAAATAACATTCTGAGTAAATTCCAGTCTGCATATAGACCGCATCACTCAACCGAAACTCTGCTACTAAGAGTCGTGAATGACCTCAGATGGGCAGTTGACTCAGGCAATGCTGCATATTTGGTCCTACTAGATTTAAGTGCAGCATTTGATACTGTGGATCATGAGATACTGCTGCACATTCTGGAGCATCACGCCGGAATTCATGGTGTAGCCTTGACATGGTTTCAGTCCTATCTGACAGACAGGAGTCAACTTGTTTCAGTTGCAGATAAACTCTCCAGCAAGACCTTTCTCTCGTGTGGTGTACCTCAGGGCTCCGTCCTAGGTCCAGTCCTCTTTCTCATCTATACAAACCAGCTTCAATCCGTCATCGACAGCTTCAAAATCTCGAACTATTCGTATGCAGATGATACCCAACTCCTGAAGCCTTTCACACCTGCGTTACTATCACCAGCCGTCCAACAACTAGAACTCTGCACTGCCGGAATAAAATCATGGATGAACGGCCAAACACTAAAGCTCAATGATGAAAAAACTGAGGTTCTACTTGTTGGCAGAAAGCATCACCTAACTCATCTCAGAAATGAAGTCACAACTGGTTCAGCACAAGTGTCTACATCGAGACTTGTGAAAGACCTAGGAGTTCAGATTGACGCAGACCTTTCACTGCAGGAGCAAGTCAACAGAATATGCAAATCATGTTATTTTCATCTTAAAGCCATGGGAAACATCAGGAATTACATCACAGCGGAATGTGCCCACATCCTAGTGCTATCCAGACTAGACTACTGCAATGGACTGTTGATCGGCCTCAGCAAACACAATATCTCAAGACTACAGAAAGTACAGAATACAGCTGCAAGAATTATTTCTCGGAAGACTAAATCTGATCACATCTCTCCTGTTCTCAAATCCTTACATTGGTTGCCTATTCAACAGAGAATCGACTTCAAACTACTCTGCATCACTTTCCGCTGTCTCCACAATCAAGCTCCAGAATATCTCACCGAACTCATCACAGAATACATTCCATCAAGATCACTCCGGTCCCAGAATCAGCACATACTACAAGTTCCCAAATTCCACCTAGTTTCGTATGGGAAAAGGGCTTTCTCCTATGTTGCACCAACTCTTTGGAACTCTTTACCTTTAGAAATCAAACTATGTGAATCTCTCTCAACTTTCAAGTCAAAAGTTAAAACTCACCTGTTTCAAAGTGCCTATGATTGACTCTTTTACTCAATTCTTTTCAGCGCATTGAGCATTCATAAGTGTGTGGACATTTGCGCTTTATAAGTGACATTATTATTTATTATTATTATTTACAACGATCTTTCTGCTGGTCTCTGACATCGGCCTTTTGCTGGCTACCTGGCAGAGCAGGTATCACACAAGCCGATGCGGCATCTAAAATAGTTGTACAACCCGTTAGATATTCACTGCTCATCCCCTATAGGGATTTTCAAATCAAAAGATATACTCAACTATATCGGCTGAAAGCAGAGTATCTATTGTTATGAAGCGTTCATCGCCAGCACATTCTGGCCTACCAGTTGTCTGACTTCCATTTTTGGGGATTGCTTGATAACGATGTTAGTACCTACACCGAAACGACGCACTCACTGCTATAAAGAAGTTGACTATCCATAGAATCTGGTTTTCCTTCAATGTAAAGTGTATTACATATGGTATCTTCTGACTTGTATGAAATCACACAGCCAATGTAACATGGCTCAGTAGTATCAGCAGTATGGACCCCCGACCCCCACCCCTCTCTTGTCATGAGAATCGCCTAACGTGTGTGTATTATATAATTATGGGTTGATGTGTGTTTGTGTGTGTTTACCGCCTCAGATGACACACATCCTAGGACCATCAAAGTTCCTTGTCATCCATGTTTGTGGACGTAACTCGACGTTCCGGTGTTCAGCCTATCTCACTTTGAATTGTGCATCATCGTAACTCAACGTCCATGTTCCAGCCTTTAACCTCTGTTCATTGCTATAGCCGTGGGTTATACACATCAGGCTGGATAGTCCTGACCTATTGTGCTCAGAGACAAAGGCTAGTCATATAACGTAGGTGGACAAGCGTTGCCATGATACCACGTGACGTCAAGTTGTTCCCTGGTGTCACACAACTTTCCCACAAAGGCTTCAGATTACAAACATTTTGTCTCAATTGAAAAAGGCGAGAGATATCTCTGATACAGCACGAAACCAAATTTTAACTCACTGAAATAAAGTAAAGACGTTGTACATATCACTTATATCTATTTGCTGAGAAGTACGTGCACATATATACCTTGACTTTCACACCCTGAAACCACGTGACGTCATGTTGTCCACAAAGATTTTAAATCTTCACGTTCCACTAACATCAAAACAAAGGCTCCAGATGACAAACACTGTGTGATGACGTCAGGGTAATGTCAGTAATCGGGACACATTACACGAAGGTGAACAGTAACTCACTCAAACAAATAGCAAAAAGTACACATCCTCCAGGTTTATTGTCTGGTACAATCACAGAGAAACACGTGAACATATATACCTTGACATTCATACCACTAGCTCTTCTGGCACACGGCCAGATGGCTGGGGGTGTCTGGATGGTTGTTGGTGAAGACGTAGGTGAGCACGCCATACAGCTGGATGTCGTGTTTGTGGAGCCAGTTTCGAGCTGCGTTCTCGCTGGTGCAGTAATGGCCGCCTCCGCACCTGTGGTCAAACTTGAGGTCAGTACAACTGTCACGTGGGGCCGTTGGCGGCCATGTGATGCTGTGACACAGGACAGGACAGGAAAATCAAACCCCGTTCCGAAACCCCACCCAACTCACTCACTCACTTGTTCATGCCGGCGGCGCTGGATTCCTGGTTGACGTTGAAGTAGGCGGTGGCTCCCTCGGCGAAGTATTCCTCGTAGTTGGCCATAGCGTAGGCCGAGTGCACCCACAGGTTGGCGGACTTGGCGTGGTTGTAGGCGGCATTGATCTGCGGGTTACAAGAACACATCTGAGAAATTCGTTCGAGTGTCGTCTTGTCAAGCTATCAGGGCGCGTCAGATCTAAAGAGATGCAAGCCTCAGGCGTTTTACCATCCACATGGATGGATAGGGTCCTGGGCCCCGTTCCTCAAAGCGATTAATGTTAAAGTATTGGAGTTACAATAATGTTACCGCTAGGATCGCTTTGTGTTCATTTCTGCTCGCAATATGGGGCAGTAGATTTCAAGGCCGGGGTTCAAACCCATGCACAAACGGGGTGTGTGAAATGACCACTGGATCAGTCAGGTGGCTAGAGGAGGTTTGTTTCCATAGCAACATGTCTGGTTGTGGAAGAAAAATTAATACCTGTGCATAGTGCGTGGAGTCCAGGGCATGGTGGTGAATGGTGTGGGTGAACTCGTGGACCAGGATGTTCTCATGGTGATAATACGGGTCACGTGACGTACACATCACGTTGTCGTCAAGAATCACGGCCCTCGCTCCACCGGCTCCAGCAACGTTGGTCCACTTCCGGCCGTCAAACGTACAAGAAGCAGAGCAATGACCGGAACAGCTACCTGTAGTGTTCAAAGAAACAGCTGAGACAAAACGACGGTCAGTATATCAGAAGTCTCTAACTGCGAATGTCGGGAAAAACCAGACTGCACAGGTATCAACTTCTAGGACGGATTTCTGGTTCTGTTGTATTAATCGTTGTATTACTTCCCTTGGCCGTTTCAGCATCTTGTGATGACGTATGAAACGCAGAATCGTCCGGCGATTGGTCAGTGTTCACGTGGCATATCTATAAATACCACCAAAAGCGGCCTTGAAACAACTTGACTCACAGATCAATAAACCAGTTAAATATCGTGTATCTCGTGAAAATCATGTGTTTTAATTGAAATTCAAGACCAAAGGTACAATATTGACATAAGTCGTATTTGTATTACGTCAACTAATGGCATGTATTTAAAACGGTTACCACGACACTCAGGTGTGTCCTTCAATCTGTAGTACTCCGGGTAGATGGTGAGCCCCTCCGACCGTGTGAACACCCCCACAGACCCACCGGAGGAGAGCTTGGCGAATACAGCCGAGGGCATGTGGCGCGTCATTTTGCTCACAATCAGCGCCGCCTACGTTGAAGTTTATTCTATGTTAATATTTTGTGCACAATTTATCTGGTAGAGCAAACATTATATCTAAGTTGGGGATTTAGAACAAACGTTGTGTTTTAACTCAAACTGGTGTAAAATCAAACCTGTCAGCGCTTCCACCTAATTGTAAATCAATAGCGCCTAGTTTCAGACACAAGGTGCCATATGTCCTCATTGGTAGTATGACATACACCTAACAGTGCCCTGTAACAGACTCCTGGTCTGATATTACCTAATAGCGCCTAGTTTCAGACACAAGGTGCCATATGTCCTCATTGGTAGTATTACCTAACACCTAACAGTGCCCTGTAACAGACTCCTGGTCTGATATTACCTAATAGCGCCTACTTTTAGACACAAGGTGCCATATGCCGGGCCTCATTGGTAGTGTGACATACACCTAACAGTGCCCTGTAACAGACTCCAGGTCTAATATAACCTAATAGCGCCTAGTTTCAGACACAAGGTGCCATATGTCCTCATTGGTAGTATGACATACACCTAACAGTGCCCTGTAACAGACTCCATGTCTAATATTACCTGATAGCACCCAGTTTCAGACACAAGGTGCCTCGTTGTTCCCTAGTACAGACACCTGGTGTTTTATTACCTCATAGTGGCCAGTTTCGGTAGTTTTGGGGCTGGCGGCGACCTCCACCCAGTGTCCGGAGGACTTTGTGCTTCTGATAACCCCTCCGCTACCCACATATTTGTACTTGAAGCCCGCGGGGAGCGACGCTCTGGGGGACCCTAGGCGGCGTAGCGTCTCACGGTCTTCAGGGCTGTACAGGAAGATGAGCTGCTGTGAGACGATCATTATGACTGTAAAGTCGGTCTGTGGGCAGTCAGATCCAGTGATAGATGTCTGAACGTCGACTTCCATACACAAAGTACTCATTGAAAACATGGAGAGCATGGACAATGTATCATGTTATCCACATTTTAAGTCGATGTCGATGTTAGATCAGTACACACTTAGCTCACTCATGTCTTTCAGTTCATGCGTCCCATAATAAGTCGACAATAGATGGATGGACACTCATCGTTGGTACATACCTGAGCCGAGGAGAAGCGTCCCCAAACACACCTGTAGAAAGTAGAAATTGAATAAAGGAGCAATTCTCTGTTAGTCACTTACCAAACAGCGGCATCTGCCATCACCACTCCAATAAATATCAAAGTTTGCGTCACCACTCCAATAGATATCAACGTTTGACGTCACCAATCCAATAAATATCAACGTCTGCCGTCTCAACTCCAATAAATATCAACGTTTGACCAATCCAATAAATATCAACGTTTGACGTCACCGCCGTCTGCCGTACTCCAATAAATATCAACGTCTGCCGTCACCACTCCAATAAATATCAACGTCTGCCGTCACCACTCCAATAAATATCAACGTTTGACGTCACCGCTCCAGTAAATATCAACGTCTGCCGTCTCAACTCCAATAAATATCAACGTCTGCCGTCGGTACTCCAATAAATATCAACGTCTGCCGTCACCACTCCAATAAATATCAACGTCTGCCGTCACCACTCCAATAAATATCAACGTTTGTCGTCACCACTCCAATAAATATCAACGTTTGCCGTCACCACTCCAATAATTATCAACGTCTGCCGTCACCGTTCCAATAAATATCAACGTTTGACCTCACTGCTACAATAAATATCAAGGTTTGACCACTCCAATAAATGTTAACGTCTGCTGTCACCACTCCAATAAATATCAACGTCTGCCGCCACGGCTCCAATAAATATCGACGTTTGACGTCACCGCTCCAGTAAATATCAACGTCTGCCGTCTCAACTCCAATAAATATCAACGTCTGCCGTCGGTACTCCAATAAATATCAACGTCTGCCGTCACCACTCCAATAAATATCAACGTCTGCCATCACCACTCCAATAAATATCAACGTTTGTCGTCACCACTCCAATAAATATCAACGTCTGCCGTCACCGCTCCAATAAATATCAACGTTTGACATCACCGCTCCAATGAATATCAACGTTTGACGTCACCGTTCCAATAAATATCAACGTCTGCCGTCACCACTCCAATGAATATCAACGTTTGCCGTCACCACTCCAATAAATATTAACGTTTGACATCACCGCTCTAGTAAATATCAACCAATAAATATCAACGTCTGCCGTCTCAACTCCAATAAATATCAACGTCTGCCGTCGCCACTCCAATAAATATCAACGTCTGCCGTCACCACTCCAATAAATATCAACGTTTGCCGTCACCACTCCAATAATTATCAACGTCTGCCGTCACCGTTCCAATAAATATCAACGTTTGACCTCACTGCTACAATAAATATCAAGGTTTGACCACTCCAATAAATGTTAACGTCTGCTGTCACCACTCCAATAAATATCAACGTCTGCCGCCACGGCTCCAATAAATATCGACGTTTGACGTCACCGCTCCAGTAAATATCAACGTCTGCCGTCTCAACTCCAATAAATATCAACGTCTGCCGTCGGTACTCCAATAAATATCAACGTCTGCCGTCACCACTCCAATAAATATCAACGTCTGCCATCACCACTCCAATAAATATCAACGTTTGTCGTCACCACTCCAATAAATATCAACGTTTGCCGTCACCACTCTAATAGATATCAACGTTTGACGTCACCAATCCAATAAATATCAACGTCTGCCGTCACCGCTCCAATAAATATCAACGTTTGACATCACCGCTCCAATGAATATCAACGTTTGACGTCACCGTTCCAATAAATATCAACGTCTGCCGTCACCACTCCAATGAATATCAACGTTTGCCGTCACCACTCCAATAAATATTAACGTTTGACGTCACCGCTCCAGTAAATATCAACGTCTGCCGTCTCAACTCCAATAAATATCAACGTCTGCCGTCGGTACTCCAATAAATATCAACGTCTGGCGTCACCACTCCAATAAATATCAACGTTTGCCGTCACCACTCCAATAATTATCAACGTCTGCCGTCACCACTCCAATAAATATCAACGTTTGACCTCACTGCTAAATATCAACGTCTGCCGTCACCACTCCAATAAATATCAACGTTTGACGTCACCACTCCAATAAATATCAACGTCTGCCATCACTGCTCCAAAAAAGAGCAACGTCTGCCGTCACCTCTCCAATAAAGATCAACCTTTGCCGTCACGGCTGCACCAAATATGCACAAGGAACTTAGTTAAGCACCCTCGACATATCTCACGATTGAATGAGCCCCGATCTTAACCCTGGAGCATATCTGGGACATGATTGGTCGTCGTGTGCAACAAATGGATCCTCCCGTCCAGAACCTGGCCCAATTGGACGCTGCTTTACACGAGGAATGGCGTAGACTGCCCCTTCAGAGGATCAGGAGGCTGACAGGTGGTATGAGGAGGAGAGTGCTGGCTGCCATACAGTCACATGGAGGTTACACTCGGTATTGAGATTGAATCGTGTAAGGCACGCAAGATGACGTCTTGTATGTTCACATTCACCAATAAATTCAACATTAAACATTCCAGGACCATACTTGTGCAGACATGGATTGTATGAAAATCAGTGTTATTGTTTTTTAAGCTATAATCATCTTAAAATCAACATGGATTCCAATCATTTTGTCGTTATTTATGAGTCAAAGGATCATATGGGTAAGAAAACTCATGTTTTTCCATCGTGGTCACCACGAGAAGCTTAATGTACGTGTTGAAAACCTATCATTGCAAAAATACAAGGGTGCTTAATTAAGTTCTGTGTATATATTAGTGTACCGTCAGTAAAACTAAGCAAACAACTTCTGGAAGACATACCTGAGAAGCTAACTGCCAACACGGTGATCACAGCCAGCCTGAAACAAACAAGGATTCCAGACGGGTGTTTAGGATTTAGAACTAAACGTCCGTGATTCAATAATGAGGTAACGTACGGAGGTAACAGACTGATATGCTATCACGGCCATGCCACAAATATCGAAATTCACAAAGACATTAAGTTTACTTGAGATTGTAATCAATGATTCTTTCTTTCCGAGCGTTTCTTCGTAATTGTTCGGCGGAGTGCATATGTCTATCGCTGCCAGAAAGATGGGGATTGGCTGGGGAACAGTCGTAAGTAACACGCCTTAATGTCCATAGCTGAGGTGCATATATTACTACACACAAAATGTGAAATATTTTTCCGAAAAAGAATTGTTTGAAATGAATATTTACCATTCCATGCTGAACGATCCTGCCTGAATATTGTGACAATCAGCACTGGTTCACGCACATGACACGTCACATGCAGATAACGAGGCTGCGTTTTAATTACCAGAATTTATCTGGACTGAGGTGAATAGATAAATGTGTTAATATATGTATTAAAAAGTATCTAGATAAGTATCTATATGTGTGTGCGTGTGTGAGTATGTAAAATGTACAACATAGACACACTAAATAACTAAACACACGCACATATGTCTCCGAGGTGTACCAACTTGAATCCATGGTACTCCTTGTCATGTTGCTCTTAAAAAGTCCCAGCCGTTAGTGTCATCACTATATAAATCAATGTTACTATTTGATGGAACCATGGTGAGCGGAGATTTGTCTTCTATTGTTGCCACAGACTTGCTAGCTGTTATACACGTTCTACTGTATAACCCCCTCGTGAAGAACTACATATACTAAACGCCTGTCGTATCTGCCTACTGACGAGCAGGATGTGGTCAGGCTCGGTGACTGGAATGACTGTCGTCGTATGCGGGCGGTGTTGATCGCTGCTCATGCTGTCAGTCACTAGTTTCACGGATCAAGATTCGAAGTTGACAAGTCAATACAAATCACTGTAAAGGAATGACAATGGAAGGTCAAAACTGAATGGCTGTACAAATTCACCAAGCTACCACAGTGGTCAAGCTGCAAAATAGGCCTAGGATGAGAATCCAGGTTAAAGTGATCTTCAATGCTGGTCGTAAGGATATCTACATACGAAAACGCTGCCAGAACGTCTCCTAACTTTCTGTGTGATACAAGAGCTTTAAACACCAGTCTTGTCTCCGAGTCTAAATATAAACTCTTAAAAAAAGAAACGCACAGGCCAAAAATAAGGAAATTTTTAAACACGACAGAGTGTTCTGAGTGTCGCGCCGGCTGGTTGCACCTCAACTGAGCTCTCACATATTGTTCGATTTCATGAGAAAGAGGCAAGCTTCAGAGCACATATTTGGCAGAGTTGGGTATGAAGATGTTGTGATCACATTGGTGAAAACAGTTTTTCGAAATATCAACTTTAAGGTGGTTTATTTGTGAAAAAACACAACGTTTACAGGCATGGCTGGATTTGTGCTATTAACTCAGTCCAAGCTGATTGATCAGTTCACACACAGTGTATTGTTCAAGTCAGGCCCAAGCAGCCATCACTGATTGGAGAACAATAGCCATACCTGGATCATCAAGCCTACAGATTATTTCTCAATGGAGCACTTTCTTAGACTGTGCTTGTGTCTACTTTTCATGACATTAATAACATATTCTCCATCACTATGTTTATCTCTCAACAAAGGTAGATCAAATATAGTTTCAGCAGAAACTTTCCACACTCTGACAAGCCTGAACATCTGCAGTGTGAAGAAAACACGCCGGGGTCGGAGAAGCACAGAGAAGAATAACAGATGTGTGAACGGGAAAGATAAGATTTTCGCAAACTCTCAAACTTCTAGTATCGCCAGTACTTACAAAACTCATGACTTTAATATGTGTTTGATAAATGCCAGATCTGCGAAAACTAACGATCCAACAAATGACAAGGCCCTTGCACTCAGAAATCTGGTTCTGGACAACAAACTGGATATTTTAGCAATTACAGAGACATGGCTTCGCGATGTTGATTCTGATAATCTCGCAGTTGGTAAACTCACCCCTCCGAGGTACAAGTTTGTTCAAGTATCAAGGAAACACAAGCGTGGAGGCGGTGTTGGTATCGTCTACAGTGAAAGTTGCCAATCTCCATACTTCATTTGAACTTATACCACTACAATTCACATGTGACAACCAATGTTTGATTTAAACATATTTTATTCACAAATGTGAAAGGGATTGGGGACAAGTAATCCAACTTAAAATACCCGCTCCCTTAACCAATGTTTCAACATCATAGTGTTGTACAGACCGCCAAAACGTGGTACTTTCTTTGATGACTTTAGTACACTTCTTGATTCTCCGACAACAACACCCGGTAAGCTCTAAATATGTGGGGACTTTAATTACCACATTGACAAGACAAATGACAGAGATGCGCAGAAGCTGCTCAATATTCTGGAAGCTCATGGTCTAACTCAAGTTATACATGAGCCAACTCACTGTCAGGGACATATTCTAGACCTGGTGATTGTGCGTGAGAATGAACTGATGGTCAGTAACGTAAGATTTGATCATTCTGTAAGGTCTGATCACTACAGTGTCTTGTTCAATGTCAACATCTCAGTTGAAAGACGAACCAGAAAGAACATCTCATTTCGCAAGTGGAAGGACATTGATCTTCAAGAGTTTCAGCTAGATATGACAACATCTATTTCTAGCTTTTCAGATCTCTCCGCCAGTGAATATGTGTTACTCTGTATGACACTCAGCTCTGGAAACTTGCTGACCATCATGCTCCATTGAAGTCCTGTACTGTAACTCTTCATCCAGAATCATCCTGGTATAATGACGAAATTCGATCGGCTAAACGCCTGAGGCGTAAACTCGAGAAACAGTTTAGACACACCAAGTTAGCCATTCATAAGCAGATGCATGACAACAAGAGACATCATGTTCACTCTCTTATGGATACAACCAAGTCAAGCTATTTCAAAGCTGCACTGCAGGATGTGGATGGACAGAAGGACGTGTTCAGGATAGCTAACAGGCTTCTGTTTAAGGATAATTCCCTGTCTCTTCCATCTCATACATCCCTTGATCAATTAGTTGACAAGTTCTCAGACTTCTTTTCTCAGAAGATTTCCACAATCAGAGACTCACTATCACATGATGACCTTCCACACAGTGAGCCCCAACCAATAGCTGCATTTCCATGCCTATCCCATTACCGACCAGCAAAAGAAGCAGAGATTGTAAAACTTGTTTCTAAGTCACCGACAAAGTCATGTATTCTTGACCCTATTCCTACATGGCTTCTTAAGAACTCTCTGGATACCTTTGCCCCTATATTGACCTCTGTTGTCAATAAATCTCTTCAGGAAGGTATGATGCCGGATACATTGAAAAATGGAGTTGTAACTCCACTCCTGAAGAAGAAAAGTTTAGATCAAGAGCTCTTAAAAAATTATCGGCCAGTCACAAATTTACCATTCACCTCAAAATTGATTGAGCGTGTGGTCACAACAAGACTCAAGGAACACATGACCTAAAATGGGTGTTTCGAAGTCATGCAATCAGCATACCGGAATTTCCACTCCACGGAAACCGCACTCGTTAAAGTGCACAATGACATCCTGAGAGCCGTAGACAAAGATGGTGCTGCAGTATTGGTTCTACTTGATTTGAGTAGTGCCTTCGATACTATCGACCATACTATTCTGATGCATACACTTGAGACCAGGATGGGTATTAGAGGAACTGCTCTTCAGTGGTTTGAGTCATACATAGCAGATAGACATCAATCGGTGATCATTGATGGTCAGATCTCCAGTCCTAAGGATCCTGCTTATGGCGTGCCCCAGGGATCGGTTCTTGGACCTCTACTTTTCACTATTTATACTTCTCCTCTTGGTGATATCGTCAGATCCTTCAACCTTGGACTGCATTTATATGCTGACGACACTCAAATTTACATATCATTCAAACCCTTACTTTCCTCATCAGCTGTGTCTTCATTTCTCACCATTGAAGAGTGTGTCAGCTGCATCAAAAACTGGATGTCGTCACACTACCTCAAACTGAATGATGATAAAACTGAACTCATAGTTTTCCACCCTAAGCGTCTCCAACCCAGTATCTCGACTATGTCCAGCTGTTTTTAAATCAAATCTAAAGACGTGTCTCTTTGCTGAAGCACTTCAACTCTATGTGATATCTAGACCATCTTAGAGCCAAAGCGCCTTTGAGCGGTTTACGGATATTGGCGCTATACAAGTATTTGTATGTATGTATGTATGTATGTATGTATGTATGTATGTATGTATGTATGTATGTATGTATGTATGTATGTATGTATGTATGTATGTATGTATGTATGTATGTATGTATGTATGTATGTATGTATGTATGTATGTATGTATGTATGTATGTATGTATGTATGTATGTATGTATGTATGTATGTATGTATGTATGTATGTATGTATGTATGTAGATATATCGGAGTCAATCAATGTCGATATGATAATAATGAATGTTTTGAGAGTACATTACCACTTGCACTTCTTATGGCCATAGTTGTTTGTACAGTAATCGCTCTAGAAAGATGGTTGGTGCATGACGTGAAATTTGCAAGTGTGCGATTTTCATTTAAACAGAAACCAAAACGGCTAGAAACAAACACTAACAACTGTGTGATGCAAGATGATTGTCAAAATTAATGGTCTACAGTGATCTATCAACCTTCGACACACGGATGAACATATGCATTGTTGTCATTGTCAGCATTAATTCAGTTCACTCACTCACTGCACATGTGTGGACACAAGGGGGCGTTCAGGCCAGTACCTGGTTACACAACCCCTTGCAGCCGTCACTGCTCGACACCGATTGCACAAGTCGTCGGATTTCTGCTTGGCGAATTCTTCGCCATTCCTCCTGCAACGCGTCGTCACGTTCTGCAAGTGTCTGAGGACGATGGTGACGTTTACGGACGCGTCGATCAAGTTCGTCCTCCAGATGCTCGATCGGGTTCAGGTCAGGCGATTTGGAGTGAGTGAGTTTAGTGTTACGCCGCAATGTTCTAGCTATATGGCGGCGGTCTGTAAATAATCGAGTCTGGACCAGACAATCCAGTGATCAACAGCATGAGCATCGATCTGCGCAATTGAAAATCGATGACATGTGTCAGCCAAGTGGGCGAGCCTGACCACCCGATCCCTTAGTCGCCTCTCACGACAAGCATAGTCGCCTTTTGTGGCAAGCATGGGTTGCTGAGGACCTATTCTACCCCGGATCTTCACGGGTCAGGCGATTTGGAAGGCCAGGGAAGGACATTGACGTTTGTATTGGCGAGATAGCACCTGTTACACGAGCTTTGTGGAAACAGCTCCTCTGGCGGTTCAAAAGTGGGAGGAGGTGAGGTCGCAGGATTTGGTAGATGTAGCGATTTGCTGTAAGATTGAAACACCCGGATGAATCAGTC